AGAGAGAGAGAGAGAGAGTCGAACTTCTCTGAAGTTCAACAAAACTTTGTAATTCATTTTCGCATAGCAGTCCAATTCTACATGGTATTCCTTTGCTTCTTTATCCATGTTGCTACTAAAACTTTGCAGTTGGACTTAAAACTAAATGAATATTTATTTTAACATGCAATAATATATTTATCTTTGAACCCAAAAAAAAAAAAGAAAAAAAATCTAGAAGAAAGTCGTAAAAACAGCCATTATTTTCACCTCTTTGCTAAGCATTTTGTCTCTTCAAAAAATATATTTCCACCGAATTAAGTGTTGGGAATTTACTTAACATGCTCGGCAAAACTCAAACAAAATTTTCAATTTCCACTAAAGATCTTTTTCGAGCTTATAGAGAAATTATGATACAAAATTATACCTTTGATGAATTATCCGAAGAACGCTTTTGGTCTGCAATCTACAATTGTACAATCGTTCAGCTCCAATGAAAATTCACGCAGGGAATAAGATTGAGAAAACTAAGTTTTCTTTTATTTATGCTAGAAAGAATATGAATACTCTCTACGGATTTTTCAAACTCTAACAACCTATTAATATAAGTTCAAGTGGATTTGGGCCATCTCTCAAATTTAATTCGGTCTAATATTTAATTAATCTAATTTTGTCATGAATTAATTAATTCTGGACTATTAACAAAGAATCCAATTAATTAATTCGTAAATTTCATTCTTTTAATTCTTTTTTTTTTTTTGTGATCCTTGAGGTTCCTAATCACGATACCTAACGACATGAATTATTATTTTAATCTAATCAAATTAATAAACTAATCGATAAATTAAAATACCCCTTCCAATTCATCATTAATTCACATTCGTCATCTCAAATTGATATCTAACTAGTGTCAAGGCAATACTTATGACGAAAAATGTATCCTGCCATTTTAAAAACCAAACTTCTTCGTTTACAATGAAATTTTAATATTTTCATCAATATGATCCTATCAATTACGAGATATGGATATATATCAATATCAATTATCAATCATATCTTTCATTTTACCATTAACTCGATGTAAGTCGAAAATTCCTTTTTCGACTTTTGAATACACTTTGGTCAAAGATTTAATTATTAACTTAACTGAATGAAATGTAGATTATATTTTCTTACTATCTAAGAGTAATGAATCAGCTTTTGATAATTCACAAACTTTATATTATTATTGACATACCCAAAAGCTGCATATTAGCGATCCTTTGAACAAGAACGCCCAACATTACCAAAGTATGACTGCCTTTATACAATGCATTTTGAGGACTTCAAGTTGAAAAACCAATTTCACTACTGAATATTAGAGATTAACCACTGGCATTCAGATAGTTATCCATGTAAAATCTCCAATGTTTTGTTGTATAATAAAATATTCACATGTTCATTTAAGTGTCGCTATACTTTAACTTGTGAGATCAGCTATTTACTCCACAAATAAAAAATGTCACACGTGATAATCATATCTCTTTAATCACAACTATTTGTGATTAACAAATAAGACTTAAATTTACAGACTCTATTATTTAATATAATTTATTAGAATATTAATTCTAATAAATAATAAATCTCGCAAAAGTAATTTCATTCAATATATTAAAAGTGTTTATAACTTAAATTTCTTGGACTTAGAGCATAACACTTACATTAAGAACCTACCACTGAAAACCCAAATGAGCACATTTGCTAAAATTTTGTGTTGCTTAATTCAAGAAACAGTGTTCCACATAAAAATATGATTTTGATCTAGGAGTTTTTAGTCAAATATAAATATATAAATATATCCATTTCTTATGATTTTATACAAGTATTCAAGTTCAATAAACTCTTCGCTGATAGTATTATATCACTCAAATCAGCTATTAATGTCGATGTATATAAAGTCATATTTATTTATTTATTTTAAATTTCTGATAACTCGACATCACCATTTCAAGAATTATCAAATATTTGTCATATAGCCCCGTTTGATTCCCATTATTTTCAAAAAATGCATTTTCTATCTCTTATTTTCAACCACAAATTTTTCAATAAAATAATATTACACGTATATTCAAAACTTTTTCTTATTTTTTAATAATACATTCTCCATCAAATCACTATTACAAAATACATTTTTGACAAATAATGGAAATCAAACAGCCTCATAGTATACTTATTAACCACGAGTAGTTAATAATCTACATTTGTGATTAATTAATTAATTTTTTTTTTTTGTAATTATATGTTTTCAATCATACAATTACAACACGGCATCATTCTCCCACAACTTTAGTAAAAAGCATAACCATCCATTAAAAGTAATATTTGAAGCAC